ATATATATATATATATATATATATATATATATATATATATGTTATTGGTATGTTATTAGGTTCTTATATCTCAACCTCCCTTCCAATTTTTATTCCACACTAATCCCTGCCAACCCCCCAACACTAGGTAAGAGAAAAAGAAGGTTAGAGGGGAACGGGGGCATAGACTTCTACAAGCTACTTCCTGAGATGATTAGGAATGTTGGGTTCCTTGGGGCAAGCCCAATCTTCATTGTCAGAATATCCAGCAATCCAGCAATCCAGCAATCCAGCAATAGCAAATAGAACACAGCAGCAGGACGAAATAGCAGCAGCAGGGGGAGCAGCGGCGGGGGTGGGCACAGGGGGAGCAGCAGCCGCCGCTGGCCCTCCCTCTCAGGGCCTTCTCCCATTTACACCCCCTCCAGAGTCTACAGAATTAAACTATCTACAGCTGGTAAAGATAATTTTCACTATAGAGCTGGGAGGTGAGACATGGGGGAGATGGAGCCAGAGGAGAGGGGAGGGGGGAAGAAGAGAGGAAAGGGAGAGAACAGTATGCCTTCTTAAGTACTTAATATAAATATAATTGCTCTAAGTTAGGATTTAACATGTGAAAGGGGGCATTTTTCGTCGCCTCGTTCGGAGAGGTTGAGGGTCTCACCCAGGGTCACAGTGAGGAAGTAGCACGGCCATGAGTCACATCACACGCACAAAGCCCATGCTCTTAGCCCACCTCCTCCACAGCAGAGAACAAAGCCACCAACACATTCTTACACCAGTGCTGTGTATCTTACAGTGCTGTGTGCTCAGTCCTTCACTTGTGTTCTCATTCAACGCAGTGATTCTGTGACATGCATGCTGTTTTTCCTTTGACAAATAAAAAAAAAAAAAAAATGAAGACTCGGAGATAGTTTGTGATTAGCCTGAGCTGCACAGCTAGAAGTACACGAGCCAGCAGGTCCAAGGTACATGCCCTAAAGTCCTGCTTCTCAACATGTGGGTTGCCATCCTCACAGGGTTTGCATATCAGATATTTACAGAATTACAGTTATGAAGCAGCAGTGAAATAATTTTACGGTTGGGTGTCCCCACAACTTGAGGAACTGTATTAAAGGCTCATAGCGTTAGGGAGGTTGAGAACCACTACAAGGATTCTCCCAGGTCAATTCCAAGAGATGAAGCTGCGTGGGAGGTGGAAACAGAAGGACTAGAAGCCGAAGGCCAGCTTGGACTGCTTTCGATGTTGTTTCGAACAAAACATAACCAAATCCAAATTCTAAGAGACAGATGCCCACTACTTTTCAAGCCCAGAGGCCACACACTGTTATCCTACTGGCCTTTTATAAACATAGTAATTCATAAAGAAGAGCTAGGATTCACCTTTGTAGGTGAGGAAGGCAGCAAGAGCTTCCTTTCCCAGTCTGCATGCAGTTATGATGGGTGCTAAGGAAGTTTCAGGGGTGGCTGGAGAGATGGCTCAGTGGTTAAGAGAGAGCACTGTCTGTTCTTCCAGAGGACCCGAGTTCAATTCCCAGCAATCACATGGCAGCTTACAACTGTCTATAATTCCAGGATCCAACACCCTCACGCAGACATACGTGCAGGCAAAACAGCAATGTGCATAAAACAAAAATAAATTATTAAAAAAAAAAAAAAAAGACCAGGAACTGGAGAAATAGGTCACTGAAGAGCCACATAGGGTGCCTGATTACTGTCAAGACCATCTTCGTGGGTAAGCATGCCCTCCTTAGCCCAGCAGAGATGATTCCAGCATGTAGTCTGCCACAGGCTGAGGTTCCTTGGATTTGGGTGCTACTGTCCAGGAGGACTGACTGGCGTGGGACAAACCCACTGAGGAGCTCATGAGAAATGTATTAGTCACAGCGGCTTTCTGTTGCTGTGAGAAAATGCCTGAGAAGAATCCACGTGAAGGGAACAATGTGACTCAAGTTCCAGAGGTTCTAGTCCAGGTGCAATGGGGCATGTTGTTTGGATGCTCTGGAAGCATGCAGCATTCTGGGAGTAAGGGACGGAGGTGGCTCACTTTGTGGTGACCAGAAGCAGAGAGGAGGAAGGGAGGAGGCAGGACACACCCCCGGTGACCTAACTTTCTTCCATTAGGCTCCACCTCCTAAAACTTCTAGCATCTTCCACAGCATCATCAGCTGGGGACCAAGTCTTCAATACATGGCCTTCGGGGGGGAGGGGGGGCATTTAAGATTCAAACCATAACATTAAGAATTGGAAAACCTGGGGCTGGAGAGATGGCCCAGCAGTTAAGAATTGGAAGAGCAGAGCAGTATGAGGGCACCTTAAGTTTGCAATCTAACCCAACATATGTACTTTATACTCATTTAATGGAAGAAAATAAATGATAGCCAAGACAGTAGTTATCTCTAGAGGTAGATGCTATTTCTTTTTATATATCTTTCTTTTCTCTATTTTCCACTTTATTTATTTATTTATTTATTTATTTATTTATTTATTTATTTATTTAAAAGACAGGGTTCTTTAGCCTTGGCTGTCCTGGACTCTCTTTGTAGACCAGGCTGGCCTCGAAGTCCCAAAGATCTGCCTGCCTCTGATTCCCAAGTGCTGGGATTACAGGCGTGCGCCACTGCGCCTGGCAACCTATTTTGCACTTTTCAACAATGCAATCAGTGTGACCAGAAAGTAGACTGCCATCTATGCCAAAATGCTTGTGCCTTGGACTCTGGATGACGAGGAAGAACTGGCAGTCATTGTTCTGTGCTTTCTCTCCACCCTCTGTCCTCCTGCCTTCCGCTTTCCAGCCCCGCCTTCTCCAGTACACCTCTGTTGTTTACAGTGGCCCTGACGCTGGCTGACTCTAGTGTTCAGTTGTGAATGGTTCTTCCCCTCTGTCTCTGTCTGTCTCATTCTCTCCCTCAGCCAAGATCTTAGGGAAGGTGGGAGAAAGCCTCGGCCGGATCTGCTGTGTACGCCCACCCGTGGAACGCTTCACCTTTGTAGGTAAGGTGAAGCAAGGGCTTCCTTTCCCAGTCACCTCCCGTCACGCATCAGCAAGTAGCCTTAACCCCCTGAATGGTTACCAAGGCCTTTGAGAGACAATCATGAGGGTGTATGGCACACACACCCCCAACCCCACATACACAACAACAAATAAGCAAACAAATAAAATGTAATAAGATTTTTTTCTAAAAGAAAAGGCCCTGCAGAGCCCTTTCATGCCTTCTACCATCTGAGGACACAAGGAGATGATGTTACCCGTGCTGATCTCTTCCTCTTGGGCTTTTAATATCCAGAACTTCCAGGAGTCAACTCCTGATGTTTAAAAGTCACCCCACTCATGGCATTATTGTAACAGCTAGAACGGGTTAGGGCCTCCTTTTTCGGGGTGGTCATTGCAGAGCAGAAGTTAAAAGAGACCAGAGGCAAGCGGGAGTGTCAGGCCTACAGTGTCAAGTGCTGATGGAAGCAAGAGGGTGTGGTGATCCTGTGAGGCCTTTCATGGTCATCTCCCTCCTCTGCCTGTGTGTTCATTCTTCCATAAAATGTGTCTACACACTGGATGTTCCCATGGACTTTGGATCCTGTAGAGCAGTTCAGACAGAGCCTGTTCCTCCGCCATTGGTGGGCACGCACTCGCTCCCTGGTTTCCCTTTGTCTTTTGGGTCCTCCCCAGAGATTCTGCATGGGTGAGAACACCACAGGCCCCGGGGCTCTTCCCCCGCCCCGTCCCCGCTAACCCCAAATTTAACTGTATAGAAGAGTCCCCAAAGAGCCAAAGAGAAGTCATTCCCTTTGTTCTTTGGGCCTGCCTTCTGCCGTTTCAGAGGTTTCCAGTTTGGGGCACATTGAGAGGGAACCTGTGAGGGGGCGGGGCAGGGGCAGGGGCAGGGGCGGGGCAGGGGCGGGGCAGCTCATCTGTAGATTTGTGTGTGTGCACAGGCGTATACCTTGAGCACCTCCAGGCAGACAGCGCACACCAGGAGCACATGCCAGAGGCTCTCCCCTTTGATCCTTCCAGCTTCCTCGACGTCCCATCAAGGAAATGGCTCGACATCCCAATGTTGCTGGTTCTTTAGACCAGGAAGCAACTGAAGGGAAGGAGGCCACCTCCTGTGACCCCAAGTCCTGTGTCCCAGGTTCCGAGAGCACAGTTCTTGTGGGCCGCCTTCCTAGGCTACAGAAATAGAAGGCACTCAACATGAGTATGTCTGTCATTGGTTTCCCCAGTGAAAGCCTCTGATAATGAAAATCCTGGAAATGTGTTTCTCTGCCTAGGTGGGGAGGGGATACTTCATGCTGCAGCCACAATCCCCAAGGAGGCTCTCATCAACTTAATGCTTTCTCTCTCACCTGTCCATCTGTCCCTCCCTCCCTCCCTCCTTTATTTTCTCCCCCCTTCCTCCTTCCTTCTCTCCCCACAGATGAGAATGCCAACCTGGGCACAGTGATGCGGTATGAGGAGATCGGTGAGTTGCCTCCAATTATATGGAAACAGCAATGGGCAGGGGGGAGGCTTGAAACCTGGAGTGGGTTTATGGGAAAGTCTACTGTCCGATTGCTCCCTCTGGAAGGGAGAGCATACTCTCTCCCATTTAACATCTTCTGACTAGACTCACTCCCCAGTAGGAGTGGATCCCCGACGATGATCTTCCCTTCACAGCCTCCCCCCCCCCGCCCCGTCTAAAAGAATGAAAGTCGAGGGTCAGTACTAGTGAGAGAGACCATTGTTTTCACCCACCACCGGTACTGCACATAAACAAGGCAGTTTCCGGTTCTCAGTGCTTCAAGGTAGAGGAGGAGGCACCATGTGGCTTGCCTGCAGCCTTGGCTGAAGCCGAGGCATCCCCCTGTCTGTGAGACCCCATTGCCCAACCCAAGTCCAGAGTAGGGTAGGTGGAAGCTGGTTACAAACCTCTGTGGGGATGGGAAGGAGCTGACAGCTGTGTAAATAATCGAAGCAAATCAGCAAACCAAAGCCTTGCCAAAAAGACGAGGAGGGACTCAAGTGCCTGCAGCTGGAAAAGGATGACAGAGACAGGCCAGATTGGAGCTGGAGCTGGCTCAGCGGATCTGTAGAAGGAGAGGCAACCTGGCATCCAACCCACGGGGATCTAACTTCTAAAGATGTGTTAGATGCCGTTAGTAAAGATGAAGTGTTGGTAGCCCACAGTTAAGCAACCTGCATCAAACCAAAGCAACACAAGGGCCTCATGTCCTGGTGTCCTTTCTAGACTTTAATGTCCTTAGCAGCTTTATTTGCTCTGAGGTCTACAGGAAAGCGGGCACTTGGATTTCTGGCTGATCCCCACAAAGCCCAGAGGATCCAAAGGCCGAGATGGAGCAAAGCAGCCAGGATGGGTTCAAAGCCCTGTACACCTTCTCTGCCCAGCAGGGCTCAGAATGTTCTGCCCAGTTCATGAACCCCAAAAGATCAGGAATAACAGACTCCGCTGTAAATACATGAGGTCCTTTTTATTGTAAATTACAAGCTGCAGCTTGGGCCCACACCCACTCACCGCCGAAGCGGTGGGAGCCGAGCGCCTGTGCCCAGGTTAGTTGGGTCATTTAAAGATTCTGGTCCATCCCAGCATGCCCAAGGCAGGGGCGATTCCTGCCTGGCAAGCATCTATTGGTCAAAATGCTACATTTTGAATCGATTGGCTATAGGAAGGTCCCCAGACCATTAATGACCAGGTGTCCCTCCCTAGGGGATGGTCCAGTTTCCTAGCAACTGTATTTCTAGTGGGTGGGGAAAGAATGCAGTGAGGTGGCCCTTCCTCTCAGGGCATTACTGGACTTCTTTTACCTACCTACTTCAGGCCTTAATAATAGCTGCTAACTTATCTTTTGGTCTCTCAAGAACAGTCCTCGGGTTTTCCATTGTGTTCCAGTTTGTCTCCTCCATGTTTCACAGACTATTTTCTGTTGGAGTTTTGTGATTTATTTTTTATTTTTTGTCTTCCCAGCCCCTGGGCTTGAGTTAGACTTTGCTGTCCCTGCAGGAGCACATCCACTCTGGCTCCTAAGTCTGCCTGGCCACCTCTGATTCCTTTTGCCCTCTGGAAGGGAAAAGGATCCCTAGTGCCTGACAGGGAGGGAATGAAGAATTCTTGGTTTCTGAAAGGAGAGCCGTGTAGCCCCTGCTGACAGACAGACTCCAGGTTGGAGGTGATACAGGTCGAAGCCGCCTTGGTAGACCGTGAGAGCTGGGATGGGCCACTGGGCTCCACATAGCTGGAATTCCTGAGCAGGGAGTGTAGAGGGAAAATACTAATTCTGGCTGCTGGCCCTGGATGGAGATGACCAGGGGAGGGAGGCAGAGCCCGATGGAGGGCAAAGGGCCTGCATCCTGACCCTTGTGCTCTGCGGGACCCTGGTACTCACAAGAGTACTTCAGTGACCCCCCCCCTCCCTGTACACACCACAAGAAAAAGCCACCTTCTCCTAGCTGTTTTAGCCTCAGTTGATCCTATTCTGTTTCCAGCGGTTGGCTGCTTTCCAGGGGGCTGCAAGTTCAAGGGCTCGTGGACTATAAATATGGAAATCACTGCTGCCCTCTAGTGGCTTCATGTGGACCACACACCCTTCTCAGAGTCACCGCTTCCTCCCTACCTTTTCTGTGCTTTGGCTTGTTTTAAAAGTCTCATATTATTCTTGGACAAGAGATTCAGTCCTAGCATAAGAATGGAAAGGCCAGTTCAGGGTTTTCAGCCTTGGTGCTGCCAGCACAATTCTGTGATGTGGAGCAGCCCTATGCACGGTGGGACACTTACTTAGCGTCCTGTCCACCAGGTGCCTGAGACACACTTCTCCTCTCCCCAGACAACCCACCAGACATGGCGAAATTACCCTAATCTGCCCAGGGGTTCTCAGGCAGCCTGTGTAGCTCTGTAACCACGTCCTCTGCTGGCTTAATTACTCACCACGTCTGAGACCCACTGTGTGCCAGTCCCTGCTGGGCCCCGGAGATAGAAAGATGAATTGAGGTTCTGGACCTGGAGAGATCAATGAGCAGCATAAACTCTCAGCCTTGACTGGGCTCCCGAGTGGGTGGGGCGTGCAGATCCAGGGACAATGAGATGCTGGCTGATTGCTCCACCTGCCTCAATCCCATCTGGAGGCTGTCTGTTGAGCATCGACAAGCTTGACATCTGACAGTCCCTGCTCAGTCCTGGCAAAGCCCTGGACTCACAGCATCAAAGGCCACGGCAGCAGCTGTGACCGGAAGACCGGTGGTCAGCCCCGCACAAGTGCTCTTAGTGTCTCAGACACAACACACTGGCTGAGGCAGAAACCGGGCGGCCTGAGGTCCTCACTCGAAGCCCTGGTTGTAGGACACTCTGTGGAATGTCAAGAATCTCTAGATTCTTTCCCCGGTTTTAAATGACAACGGGCCTCACAGGGATAATTCAAATTGGGCTTAATGAGGGAAGAGAGACTACTTTGGACAGGCTAGAAAGAAGCACCGAGGGGAAAGAGGAGGTGGTTCCAACCTTGCTTTGCAAGCCCTTTGCTGGGGGCTGTGGCCCTAGAAAGAGTGCACAGCGATCTACTCAGACATTTCATTGGCACAGTCGGTGGCCCCCCTCCATCCCATGAGAGAAGACAGAAATAAGTGCCTGATATCCTGCACCAGGGTAGGCTGAGAGACCAGGTTCTGGAGTTCAAGCCTCGACTATATAACACGTTTGAGTCTAGCCTAGGCTACAGAGTCTGAACCCTTAAGCAAAGTGTGTAACCAGCTGCGTCTGTTAGAGAGCCCAGCCACCCAGCTTTGGCCCTAAAGGGCTGGGCCTGTGTCTGGGGTAGGCAGGACTAGTTGACCACCCTCCACGCACAGCTCCCCTTGCATGTGGAAATCCCACTGGAGATGAGGGGGGGAGGGGAGGTGGGGGGGTGGATGTTGAACCACAGACACCCTGCTATGGGGTTGTCAGAGAGACCTGAGCCGTGTAGTTCCAAGACTTATGTGCTCAAGAGAGAAGAGGGCTGAGGGCTGTCTCCCAGAGCCCGACTTGACGCACACTCTGCTCTCCCTCCCCAGAGCTGCGCATCTTATTGCTGTGTGGTAGTGACCTGCTGGAGTCCTTTTGCATCCCGGGACTCTGGAACGAGGCAGATGTGAGTAGCCAGGGTTTGGAGTCCACATTCAGGAGGAGGTGGGAGGATGGGCGAGGCATGATTTTGGCTTCTGTCTTCCCTCCCCGGCGCAGACTGGAATCTTTTGCCTCCTCAAAGTTCCCAGGAGGGCAATTCATCCACATGACTGTGGAGAAAACTTCTCACCTTCCCCTGGCTTTATCTCCTACTGCATATTTAGTCACACTCCTCCCCCTCCTCCTCACCCCGGGAAACCCTGGGAAAAAAGCACTCTGAGTTATAGAATGTCTTGTTCCAAGTGCTGCCTGGGGTGTGCATGCTGGGGCCATGGAGACTTGAAGGGAGGGTTTAAGAGGAAACTTTGCCCTTTGGACATTAGAGGTGTGGTTTGTTTTCCTTTGATGCCTTTGAAGAGGCAGTAACTGCTACCCTAGGCTTGTGAGCCCCTTAGCAAGAAAATAGGGATCTGGGGGTGGAGGCACAAAAGGCTGATGGCAAAGGTAGATAGGATTCTTTAGGTGACTGATTTGGCACCGAGGAAAGAACCAGTTGAACTCAAGAGGCTTAGAAGTTCCCATGGTCTAATGGTCAGCCCACTACTGTTCCCTCTTGCTCTTTTATTCATTCACTCATGGGATAGCCTGAGCTAAACCAGGGTCTCATGCAAGTTGCTTTCCTGTTTATTTTTTAGATAGGGTCTTGCTATCTAGTCCTGGCAATCCTCCTGCGTTCGTGCATGGCTGGCAGCAATGCCAGGCTTCATGCTTCCTTTAAAAGAAACTTGCTGGGCAACTGTGTCAATCATTCAGCTCCTCTGGTTACCCAATGAGGCTTGTTTCCCCCTCTGTTTGGCATGCTAGTCTGTCAGTCACTGAAATGATTGCAAACGTTCTTAAAAAAAAAAAAAAAAAAACTAGTTTACTGACAAGGCAGCCAGATGTGAAAAGGCGGGGACCCTAGGTCTCGAAAGGTAAGGGACATTTATGGGATAAGCAGGGGCTGAGGCATGGGCAAGGTGGACTTGAAGAAAGTGGAGCAGTCTGCCGGTGGGCCATCAAAGCTTTGTTATGTTCAGAAAATAGTGACATTGGCAGACTCTCAGGACGAGCATTAGCCACCTGATGTCACAGGGTCACCGACTGGACGCTAGCACAGGACAGCAGTTTCAACTAGTTTCTGAAACCTCCGATTCCTGAAACATGACTCTTGCAACGGCTGTCAGTGTGACCCATAGTCAGGAATTGTGTACTGCTGAAGCTACTGGTAGCATGCTGGCTTCCAGGGAGGGCTTAAGGAGAAACTTTGCCCTTTGAAGCCTAGAGGTGTGGTTTGCTTTCCTTTGACGCCTTTGCAGAGGTCAGGGCTACTACCCTAGGCTCCCCTCAATAAGAGAATAGGGGTCCATGGGGAGGGTGCCTATGGCTAATGGCAAAAGGAAATAAGGTCCTTCCAAACTCAAAGCAAGCAAGAGACAAAAGCAAGAGGTCTAATTTGACCTTTCCCTTAGTATCACTCTGGTTGTCAGTTGTTTTTCTTAATCTGTGGTGTGTTATTTGACAGTGGCCTGTGATTTTAAAGAAATTCGTGGTACAGCCTCTGCCAATAAGTGTTGGGAGACATGACAAACTATGGACTCTTTCATTAGAGAAAGGGGACATTTATAATCAGAACTTATACTCCAGTTCTACTCCAACACATCTACTGACAAAATACAGTCTGAGCTCCAGTTTCTCCCGTCTTTAAGATGGGCATAATGATAGTGTCTACCTCATGTGGTTTCTGAAGAGTCAGAGAACACTCTTTAAGGGCGTGGAGCAGCGCCTATCACATTGTTACCAGGAGACACCACGTTGTGTTTGTTTTTGAGACAGGGTCTTTTATTGCCCAGGCTGTCCTCAGACTTGCTGTGTAGCTGAGGATGACCTTGAATTTCCGATCCACCTCTCGAGTGCCGGGCGAGGCTCGCACCACCGCGCCTAGCTTGTAACAGATGCTATTAAGGTCATTCAACTAATGTGAACCAAGTACCCTGCTGCATCCCAATAGCCATTGACGGCAAAGGGCGTGCGTGCTAGTAGGCTGTGAGCTACAGGGGAGGGGTGGTCGGAGATGATGGTTCTGAGTCCTCCGTCTCTTCATCTGCAACCCTGGGAACAATTTCCTGCAGGTGAAATTTTCAGCTTCCTTTCGGTTTGGGACCAAGTGGCTTAACCAGCTTTTGCCTTCTACCCTCTCCTAGGTGCTGAGAAAGTAAAAAGTCCCAGGCAGAGATCTCCACAAAGCTGACCAGTTGCTTGGGGCCCCTCCAGGGAGGCCTGAGCAGTCAGGGAATTTAGAAGGACGAGGTTGGCAGCTGGGGCAGGAGTCTGAAGAGCCACTTTTGTGAGCAGGAAATCCCTGGAGCTGTTTGCCAAGTTGGGACCTGAGGGGAGACTCCAGTGTGAGGGCCTGAAGTAGGTTATTGGAGCCTGAAACGTAGACCCCTGTGTCCCTGATGCCTGGCCAGTCTCTCTCCTGGCTCCTGGCTAGATCTCTACAGGGTAGAGCGTATTTCCTACCTGCTGCTCTGAGTGTTGGCAGATGCCAATATTTGAGGACCAAAGAGCCAAACCTTCCACCCCACCTCTGCTCTTTCTTGCTCTCCTCGGTCATTCCTGCTGAGATCCGAAATGGCTGATTAAGAAACACAGTTTAAGGGGTTGGAAGAATGGCTCAGCAGTTAAGAGCACTTGGTGTTCTTGCAAAGGACCTCAGTTTGGCCCCCAACACCCATGTCTGGCCTCTCACAACTATCTGTAACTCCAGAAAGCGGGAGAGAGTTGGGGAGAGAGAGAGAACGACAAGTGGGTTATTATGGCACAGGCTTTATGGGGGGACACGGAGCATGTGCATACAGGACCGCGGTGACAGTGGGATGGTGTCACGTTTGGCACTGACTCATTGAAGCCTGGAGAACCTTGTAGAATGTGGGTGGTTCCTAACACAGGGCGTCTGATGCCCTCTTCTGGTTTCCCAGGGCATCTGTACTCATATGAAACACACACACACACACACACACACACACACACACACAAATAAATGTTACAGTGAAGTCTTTGTCCGTTCAAATGTATTCCCCTGATTATGTGGGAGAGGCGGCGTCCCCACATAAACGGGTCCTGACCAGTTTGACTTTCTGGATGCCTGAGATTAGTCAGAGAATTCCGGACTCTTAGGGTTGCTTGTGTGGAGAAACAAAGGGATGCCCCATCTCATTTCCAGTGCCTCCTCTGAGACAGATGACTTTGGAACATCTCGTGGCAACACCAGGACCAAGGAGGAGAACCAGATAGGCTCACTTTTCCTAGGACTTAGATGAATGTAATGCAAAATCCCAAGGCCAAGGAGACAGCATGGCGGTAGAGAGCTTCCCTTACCCATGAGACCCTGTGAGGAATTTCCAGCACTGTACAACAAAAACCAACAAAAATCCAAAGCCTGAGCCTGGAGATTCAGCCCAGTTTACCACACATGTGTAGAACTATGGTTTCAGTTTCCAGCACCATATAAACTTGACTATGATCCCAGCATTGGGAGGTGGAGGTAAGATCAGAAGTTCAAGGTCATTCTGTACTACATAGTGAGTTCAAGACCAGCCTGGGATGCAGGAGACCCTGTTTCAAAATGAAACGCTTAAAAGAAAAAAAAAAAAGATTCAAAACCTAAAAGTCCCACATTCTTAGAGCATCCCCAGATTCAGGCTGACAACTTGGGTGCCCATTCACCCTGGAGATCTAGGACATCCATCCTAACTGCTCCCAGAGGGTGCAGTGGGGTTGGAGTTAATGAGACCCTAAGGCTCCCTCAGCCTAGAGCACCTACATCTGGACGCCACCCAGCCAGTTCATGCTCCTTCCCAGCTGTGCCCAGTATAAGCATGCAGGACCCTGAAGTCAGAGAATCCTGGTTCAGACAGATCTGGGAAGAAACAGGAGCTGTTCAAAGAGGCTGGGGAGCCGCCTCACTGGGTAAAAAGAAACTGCCCACGTCGTCTGGAAACTGGCTGAGTGGGCCTCCCCCACAGCCTGACTGCCACAGCCTCTCCTAGGTGCTTCCACTACAGAGACAATATCACTTGCTTCTAAGTCCTGGACCAAAACTCTCCATCAATGACTATTCCACACCCAGCCACCCTGTTCCCCAGTGGCAGTGTCTATCAGGCACAAAGATGTATCAGTCCGCAGTGAATTCTGACCTTCTGTCACCACTGACACACCCGTCCCCTTACATTCCATGGAGAGAAAATTCCGTACATAGTCATCAAGTTTCTCTCCAGTGGAGCACAAAAGAGCTGCTGTGGCCTCCCAGTTGGCATTTTCATTCTTGCTTTCTGGGGAGGGGCATCAAGATTCAGGAGCCGGTAGCATGCCTGGCTCACTTCCATTAGCAGGCTAGTTTCCTCTACTGGTTTGCAGTCTCACCTCTCTGACAGAAGGAGCTCACAGGAGGTTTAATTTGAAAGCTGAGTGCATGGTTGCACAGAGGGCATCGCAACAGGAGCGTGAGGGAGCTGGCCACCGAGAGTCTGCAGTTGGGAAGCAGGTGGAGGCGGAAGCTGGTGGCGGTGTGCTCGATTTTCCCTTTTCTCCTCAGTCTGGGGGGGATGACACCGTCCACCTTCATTCCTCAGTTAAACTCTGCAAACCCCCTCGTGGGTATGGCCAGAGATGTGTCTCCGTGGCGATCCTGAATCCCGTCGAGCTGACATGTCCCTCATGTGCCCTAGCCTCCGTTCATCCTGACAGAAACACCTGTGCAGATAACCACACACGAGGATCAGAAACTAGATTAAATTAAGGCCAAAGGCTTCAGGGTCGCACAGGGCTGAAACTTGTTTCTTCACTCCCCCCCCCCCCTTAAACAAAACCCAGCCTGTTATGCAGGCCTCTGCCAACGCTGGGTGCTTTATCCATCATCTAGCGGAAGGCAGGCAAATTAATTCTGATTCAGCATTCCTCCCTTCAATCAACCTTTCAACGGTG